AAACAGCTCATAGAATAGTCCCCTTCGTCTCCAAGAATAGCAAGGATGACATCATCCTTCACGTTCTTTCTCGACTTCTTTTCGGTACACATTCCATCTTGTGAGTCACCTGCTTTGCTGCTTTGCTGTGGGTGTGGGCCATGAGATGTGATTCATTCCCGTGTTTGGCTCCGAAGCCCCACTTGTTTTCTCCATCCCCCACTAAAGAGGACTTAGGTGTTTCTGGCTCCTCACTACTAAGCTTGGTGAGGTTTCTGACGGCTTCTTGGATACTGGTGAGCATGGACATGGCATGGCTGGCTTTCGGGAAGCCACTCTCTGCATTCATTGAGTCACACATTAAAAAAAAAAAAAAAAAAAAAAAAAAACCTATTTTCCGGACCAGTGCTATCGTCACCTCTCTCTGGCCATGAATAGCAGTCCCTGTGTATCAGACTCTGAGTGATGTCACATGAGCTTTAGCTCCTGGCCAATCTGATAAAGTGTCCGTGGTAAGCCGATGTGGTTTTATTTGCATCTCTCTGCTCACTGAGAGGTTAGGCTCTGTGTTCTCTGTGGCCCTTGTTTCAGTCTCATTTGCTACCCCTAACCTTCTCCACTTCCCTCTGAGTTCCTGAAATGTGGTTAACTATTAGTCTGCATCATCCCAACCCCAGGCCTGGGGCCTGGTAGATTAACACTCTGATAGGTCCCCCATGCAACAATGCAGTCAACACTCACAACCAACTTCAGCTAAGGCCCTTGACCTCCACTGATAGTGGAGAACACAGAATCTGAGCGGCTAGGTAACCTGCCCAAAGACACATAGCTGGGATGTAGTAGATTTCAGGCCCTCTGCTTTCCACTGTGAAAGGTCTGCAGAAGCTCTTAGAACACCTCCTACCTTTCTTGTGAACCTCGTGTGCATCCCAGGAGAGGAGTCAGGGCAAAGAGGTCAGAGAGATTAGAAGACCCCCTTTGGTGCTGTGAGTGAGTAGGGAGGGGCAGGACACGTTCAGCACTGAGGTCACTGTTCCCTTGGTGCAACAGCCGCTGACTTATGCTCAGACCACGGAGCAGGCGTGTGGAAGCGCCCTCAAAGCCGAAAGCCAGCATCCCCACTTGATGCTAGCCATTCTTCAATATTTGTGACACCCTGCCCCCTACTTTAAAGAAAAACAGAGGAGAATCTCCAACTCCTGGAATATTGGGAAGGTGGTGTGGCTGGTTTGTACTTTCTTTCTGTCATCTGTTACATCTCACAGGGGTGGGCTAGCTTTCCAGCAAGCTAGTTGTGATTTGTTTAAGAAAGCTTTATGTAAGCCCCTGAGATGGCTTAGCAGATAAAGGTGCTTAGCTGGATGACTCAAGTTCAACACCTGGGACTCAAGCAATAGAGAGAACCAACTTTCAGGTTGTCCTCCGACTTCCATATGTGTGCTTTGGCATGCTCATGCACGCATACACTTGCACCAGAGCACACACGCACAAGACCAATGTAACTAAAACAAACATGTATCAGCTACCCTGATCCCACGGCTGCCTGATGCAACTGTTTTTACAAGCACAAAGTGAATTTCCCAAGGGTTCTGAGAGCATGGAAACTTTATCTTTGGCATTTATAGATGAGGGCCTGGGGCTCAGAATAGTTAAGCCACCTGCCTGAGATCACACAGTCTGGGTTTGAACTGAGGCTGTGCCAGCTCCATGGTGTATGTCCCCAGCATGCTGCCCACTGCCTCTTGGCTCCATCCTGGTTAACTGTCAGTGGTAATAATGTACTATTTTCTTTTGACACAAGTTAGTTGGAGTAAAACAATGTCTGGCAAGGTAAAGATAGTAAGTAGAGAAAACAACGTGGAAAGGTAATGAGTGAATGACAGAGGTTCTATAACATTCTAGCCCAGGACAGCATGTTAAGGATAGGAAGGGCTGTGGTTCAGGGAGAGGACTCAGCTTATGCAGAGGCAGACAGGCACCAGGGCAGCGGTGCTTGGGAGAGGGTACTTGTGCTGGTTGGTTTCTCTCAGCTTGCCACAAGCTAGAGTCATTTGGGAAGGGGGTACCTCAATGTGGAGAATGCTTCCATCAGACTGGCCTGAAGGCAGCCTGTGGGACATCTCACTGATTGATGACTGATGTGGGAAACTCAGCCCACTATGGGTATTGCTGTCCCTAGGCAGGTTCTGGGTTATAGAAGAAAGCAGACTTAGTAAGCCCTGGAGGAGCAAGCCAGTAAGCAGGGTTTCTCCATGGCCTCTGCATCAGCTCCTGCCTCCAGGTTCCTGCCCTGACTTCTCTCAGGGATGGGGTGTGACCTGAGAGCTATAAAATAAACCCTTTATTCCCTAGCTGCCCTTGGCCATGGGGTTTATTACAGCAACAGAAGGCAGAGAAGAGCAGTGGACCACTCAGACAGTTGCCAGGGCTCCATGTCCACACCTGACACCCCACGGGCTGCTCTCAGCTGTGAGGGTCAGGGGTTGAGGATGTGTCTGTTTCAGAGATGGCAACTGAGGCCAGTGGACAGAAGGGTCATAGATCAACTGGCTGCCAATGCTGGGCCCCTCCTTTACTCTGCTGTGCCAGGCCTCTTTGGCAAAAGCAGTGTTGGAGGATAGAGGTGTTTGGGCTCATGTTTGGGCTCATGTAAATGCAAGCTTCAATATGGACATCAGATAAAACCTGATCCATCTTTTTAAAGTAGTCCTGCTGTTGTGACTTGAATATGAAATGTCTTCAATAGGCTCATGTTTAAATATTTGTTCCTATGTTATGGGGTGGGGGGATCCTGGATGAAGGAAATTGGTCTCTGGAGTATGGACCTTTGCAGGTGATACCCACCTGGTTCCTGTCTTGCTCCCTGCTTCCTGGGCCCCCATAACGAGAACAGTCTCTGCTTTACCCTCCTGAGCTGCTCTACCACACCTTCCTGTTGGGACAGGCTGAACCCCCTGAAACTTCAGGCCAAGGTACATCTCTAAAAGACAACAAAGGTGGCTGCAGGTTTCTGACAGGTGCCCAGAAAAGCATCAGAGCCAGAGTTCTAGAGAGGAGCTCAGGTCAGATGCCACCAGCTTCCCTGAGCTTGTGTCTTGCCCTGTGTAGTCACTGTGGCAGAGCACAATGGGGCAAGTGGGTGCTTGGATTGGCCAGGCCTGGCTCAGTACCTGCTGTGGACCAGGCAGAGGGGCTGCAGTTTAGGAAGCATGTCATGAGGAGGGCCACCAATCGAGGTGGGCAGAGCAGCTGCTGTCTGCTGGTGGCTTGTGCAAAGCTGTGGTCTGAAGAGGAGGAGAAGAGGCTCTTGACAAAGAACAGAGGACTTCTACTTTTCCTGTGGCTGAGATATGACAGAGTTCTCTATTGTGCTGGTGGTGGCATCATAGATTGGTCACTGTAAAATAGGGCGCCCCTGAAGCCACCTCCTGCAGTCAGGAGTCGCCCCTTCAGACTGTAATATCAGCGTGGCTTAGTTCCTTCCGATTCTGTGACAAAACACCTGGGACGGGGAAATGAGAAGAAAGTTTACTCTGCTGAGATTCTGGCATCCGGGAAGCTCTGGAGAACGTGTATCGCCAGAGCATGGTGGAGGACTATGCAGGAGAACGCACAGCTGACGCACCAGCTTGGATTTCTTTCCCTTTCCTTTCCTCCCTTCCTCACCTTTCTTTTCTGATGCTGGGGGTAGAAATCAGGAACTCCCCTATGTGTAGGCAAATGCCGAACTCTGAGTTCCATTCCAGCCATGCTCCATTTAAAACTCAGCTAACGCCAGGATTGCCCCACCCTCATGCCCTCAGCTAATGCTTATCTCCCCCATTCTATTAAAGTGTCATTTGGGTGTTAGGTTCTGTCACAGACAGTTGGAGGGACACAGCCATTTGGGCAGGGGCCACCCAAAATCGGTGTTACTCAAAGCAGCAAGCTGACTTTTTCCATAACGTTTTATTTTAGTACTGATGTTAGAGCAATGACTATAATTACAATAGTTAGAAGGCAGAAGGCTGAAGCAGGAAGTTCACAGGATCAAGACCAGCCTTGGTTATAATAGTTAAGACTGTCTCAAGAGAGAAGGGAAGGAAAGGAGAAAAATATACCCTTGTGGAAAAAGTGTGCATCCACAAGCAGTAATTTTCAGACTGGGATTGGAGTCAAATGTTTAAGGCCATTTACAGAAAAACATTAAATAAGTAATTTTGAGGGTGAGATGCTTTGGAAGTCCCTTGGGCACACCGTTCTTGGGGTTCTGCTCTAGAGCCTTCTGCTTTAGCTCTGCGGTGTGATGAAGCTTACACCCAGCTTTCTCTACACATCACCTGGTTGTTACAAAGCTCTGGATAGGCCTTCATTGCTTCATTTTATGAGGCCCAGATACAGCAAGAGTCTGGCCTGGAGCACACAGATGGCCATCTGAACCTTGGTCTCCTACACTGTTTCTTTGATGATGGTCAGGTAGGACAGTCAGTGCTACTGGTTCTCGGGGAACCCCAGCGAAGCATTGTCTAATTGTGGGGTCAGTGATGGTGTCTGGGAAAAGTCGTGGGTCTGACCTGATTCATGCATGGGCTATATTCCCTCAAGGCCCTGATCTCAGCTCCATCCTGGAGGAGTGGGGCTCTTGAGCCTAGGCAGGTGATCCTCCTGGGCTAGTACTTCCACAAGCAAAGGGCAGGAGGAGCCTAGTGTTGGCCACCTGTGGGTTTCTGCCCATGGTTTCATCACTTCCTTGATCCTACAACAGCCTTTGTCCACTTCAACTGGTCATGGCTTTGGGCAGTTTTGTTTGGTGGGCTGGCTTTCCTCATGTGCCTGTGTAGGCTAGCTGGGTCTCCTATTGGAATAAGAAGTGTCCCCCCCCCCTTGACTGTGGGCTAACCTTATCTCCAATGTTCAACAGGGGGCATCTTTGTGAGCCTTGGACTGGTCCTCTGACATGGCAGGCCATATGCTTGGTGGGGAGGCTGCTTAGTGCATAGCCATAGCTGGTTCACTTCATATATCACACACTTGTCTTGCAGGTCTGGGACACAGCATGCCACAGGGCCCGGCTGCTCCCTTGCTCCTGCTGATCCTCCAGGGAGGTAAGTCCCAGTCCCATGGCAGCAGGGATTGGGGGGGCAGCCACGTGGCTCCCTGGTCATGGCTGCTGGCCACTGACTCACAATCTACAGCCTCTGTCTACTTGACACCAAAGCTGAATGCCTTGCTTTCCACTGACCAGAACCCAGGGAACCAAAGAGCTTCAGTAAACAGAAAGGCTCTCCACCATCATGGCCTTGGTTTAACCTCCATTCCTTAGCGCAAGATTCTCACTTGGGTCATGAACCTTCAGTAGGCTGGAGAAAAGGAGGAGGAGACAGAGGAGCCTAACTTCATTAGCAGTCCAGTGGGGGAGGCATCAGAGTTGCAGGGTAAGAGTCCTGTTGAGGGCATTCTCCCCATCAAAAGTCAGGAAATGAGAGGCCACCCAGGGTGAGGGGAACTTGACCTTCTGCAGACTCAGCAACATTTGCTCTGGTTTTTACCGAAATATCCAGCACTTTAAATAGCTCCCGCGGGAAACAGGCCCAGCTTTTGATTTCCCTTTCTGCTGGCGACACCCTGCCTGCTCTGGAACTCCTATAGTGCCTGCACGGGTGCAGGGGTAAGAGTGGGGCTTGGGTAACAGATTCCTGCCCCCACCAGCCCTAGGAGGCTAGAATGTCACCTCCTGCTATTCCTGTGGAGCCTGTTTAGGTTGCCAACAGTGGAGGAGACAGATAATGCAGACCCTGTGGCCACCCTGGGGAGGGCTGCCTGACTCTTAGGTCTGCCTCAGTCCCATGGCACTAAGACAAACTGAGGAACATGGGTAGGATGGTGGCTTCTGTGAAGTGCCTGTCATTACAGCATCAGGATCCACAGAAGGGACTGGGTGCAGCTGAGCGTACCTATTATCCAGCATTGGGGAGGTAGAGGCAGATCCCAGGGGCATGCTGGCCAGGCTGCATGGCCAAATGGGTGAGCTCCAGGCTGGGTGGGAGAGTCTATCTAAAAAAACAAAACAAAACCAAAAACAACAACAACAAAACAAATAAACAAAACAAATAAACAAACAAAAAAACCAAGGTCGAGAACACACTGAGGAAGATCTTTGTCTTCAATTCGCATGTGCACAAGCATGTTCACAAACCCACATACATATCCATATGTGTGCCTCTTGCAGTCTCAGGGCTGGGTGCTCAGGGCCATGGTGCAGTGTGCTATATGGCTTGTGAAACTCGGCATCTACTTCCAGTGTGGTGCTGGGCCCTTGTTTTTATGGGGGGGGGCAGAATGGGGACACAAGGAAAGGAATCTGGCCCCTCCAGCCACCATAATACCACTAGACTCCCATAGGGACTTGGAGACTGTTATCCTTGGAGGCCCCACCTCCTCACACACTCTGTGGCTGGAGTGTCTGATGGGACACATACGTCCTAATTTTAGCAGGGTCCCAGGCACCTGCTATGCTGCTGTTTGCTCATTCATTCATTCATTCATTCATTCATTCATTTTGGGGCTTTTGAGACAAGGTTTCAGTATGGTGTTGGAATCTCCCTGCCTCAGCTTGCTGCTGTGTGGAGTGGCTGCTTTATGTGGTAGCGCATAAGATACGGGCTTGACCTTGCCCAAATGTAGGTGTGGAGGCTGGGGACCTGTTCAGAGAGCTTAGGGATAGCATGGAGGCAGTTTTAATCCTGAGGCCATGGTCACCTAGCGAGGTTAAGGCTGCATCCTGAACATTGTAGTAATCTCTTCGGGAAGCCTGGGTGCCATCCAGTTGTGGGGTGCTGCCTGGCTTGTTCACTCACTCTAACCTTAGCAACCACCTCTCAGCAGACTGTGGGCTCTGCTTTTTCTGCCCCATGGCTTGTCCCATCCCAAGTTAGAGCTATAGCTCAGTGGTAGTAAGTATTTGTCTAGTGTGCACAAAGTCCTGGCACTATATACTGTGTTGTCCTTCCTTCTTCCCTTCTCTTTTCGTCTGTCTGTCTGTCCCTCCCTCCCTTCCTCCCTTCCTAGATGACAGCTTGCAGTAGTAAGGTCTCACCTTTCCTCAAGTGAGTTTCAGAGATGGAAATCAATTTGTTAGACATGGCAGTAAGCACCTTTACCTACTGAGCCATCTCATTGGTCCAGTCTCCACAACTTTTGGTGGAAGCTACCTAAAAATGGTGAAAAAGATTCTGGAGCAGCCTGGGAGAGAGTGCTGGGACTCACCAGGAGAGTGTGCCAGGCATATGCCTGGGAAGATGCTGCCCCCTGGAGAACAGAGCTCAGCAGCCAGGGAAAGCCATCTGCCCTTGGAGCCTTGGTGCTGTCCTTTACAGCCCAGGACTAGCCTTGGAATCTAGCTTAGAACTCAGACATGAAGTCCACTGTTTCAGGGTCTTCATGGGTCAGGAAGAAAACAGAAGAAGCCACTGAAAATGAACCCCTTTAATAAGCACATTTCCAGCAGGTGGGAAGAAGATATGGTGCTGGCATGCAGTTTTACAAAGCAAAATCCAAAATGGCTCTGCTCATTTGGCCAAACATTGAACAAAACTTGGACAATGACTGCATCCCTGATATATTGTCTTCTTACACATGAATACTGGATGCTGGGAACTTTCCCTCTGCCTCATCCCCACTTACCTTCCCTTTCTTGAACCCCCTTCAATTATTCTCTTTGATCCCCTAGACATCTTCCATAGCTACATACCTGACAGAGGGGTAATAATTCTCTACTAGTTTGCCTTAGTAATTAGTTATTTCTTCTTCTTTCTTTTTGAGACAGGGACTGGCTATGTAGCCCAAGCTGGACTTGAATTAGCAACCCACCTGCCTCCATCCCCCCAATGCTAGGAAGCCAGATGTGTCCCCATTCCTGCTGCACCTGTCATCTGGAAAGTGAAACAAATGGTTGGGGTGGTGGGGGAGAGGGTGAGGGTAGACGGGCTCTTCCAGCCAGCCCCTGCTGCGCCATCTGCTTTGGTCACATCTTGGTAGCAATGCTGTTGCTGGCAGTGGCACACCCAGCTTTCCTATAAAACGTGGAATTCCTCCCCACTCTTTCACGGGCCTCCCTGAGCACCTCCCCTTGATGAGGCTATGGGCTCAGACAACGACCTTTGCCACTCTTCCTGGTCTCAGGAATCTGTCCATCTGCCTATGGGGAGCTCAGAGTGTCTTACCCTCTGATGGGACAGTGGCCTGGAGATCAAACATGGGGCCCAATTCTACACTAGGAGAACCTCATCGTTATCATCAGTCTTGAAATGTTGGAACTCACACCAGGAGTTGCAAGTGACAAGAGTCCCTGTGGTCCAGGCTTTCATCCCAGCTTGTGACTCTGCCCAAACTTGTCCTCAGCCTCAGACAGTTTGCCCAGGTCTTCCCACTGTCTCTCACCCAAAAAGTCTCTTGCTGTCCCTCCAGCTTGGGGCTGCCTGGACCTCACCTGCTACACTGACTTCCTCTGGACCGTCACCTGTGTCCTGGAGACATGGAACCTCCACCCCAACACACTCACTCTCACCTGGTGAGTAGCTGTAGATGAAGTTTCTGTCCCACCCGATCTTGCTGCTGTTTAGTCCCAAACAAACACTCAGAGGATTATATTAATTATAAACTGTTTGGCCTATGGCTCAGGCTTCTTATTGGCCAGCTCTCTCTTAATTATTAACCCACTCCTATTAATCTATGTATCTCTATGTGGTCTTGGCTTACAGAAGAATGTATCTTCCTAGTGGTTACATGACATCTCCTCAAGACTCATTCTCTGTGTTCCCCTTCCAGCCTTCTCCTAGTCTGGAAGCCCTTCCTATACTTCTGCCTGGCTATATTCTGCCTGTCCATTGGCTGAAACAGCTTTATTCATCAACCAATAAATGAAACATATATTCACAGCATACAGAAGGCCATCCCCTATCTAGTAGCCATGCCTCCCAGGCTGAAGAACTTCTCAGAGACGGTGGCAGGATGCGAGAGAGCCCCAGGCTGAGCTGACCTGTGGCATGTTCATCAGGAAGCTTAGCTACGAACAAGGGCCTGCCCCTTCCACCAGCAATGTCACTCACAGAGACTATGAGCAGAGAGACAAGTCCCCACCTTACAGATGACCAAACTCACAGGACTCACCTGGGACACACAGACAGGAGGCCAAAGGCTGACCCCATCCACCCCAATGGTTACCCCAGGGTTCATACTCTCTTGCCCTCTTAGTCCTGCCTGGGTTAGCAGCCCTGAGATGGCCAGTCCCCAGTGATCGTCTAAGCACTGAGTAGGTACTGTGTCCTCGCCATGAATGATCTTGAAATTGTTGTTACCATGTTCCAGATGAGGAAGACTGAAGTTAGAGAGGTTTAACCACTGGCCCAAAGTCTTGTAGCCAGTGTGCTTATGGTCCCACATGCTGCTTAGGATAGAGACTACTTGCCCTTCATGCGTTCACCCAGACATGTTGTGGGGGTTGAGGACCCAAACAAGACTCAAGACTGTAGGGTGGGGAGCCAGGGATGTTCAGCTGAGCTGGTCAGGGCATCCATGGCAGTAGGCACAGCATGTGCAAACACCTTGGGGAGCAAGAGCTATGAGTGTAGTTCAGTAGCTGACTGTGACTGGGCAAGGGAGTCAGAGTAAGGGAAAATAGTAAACAGTGGGGTCAGTGGCTGTTGTAAAGGCCAGTTGTGCTGCACAGGAAAGGGCAGCAGCTATCAGGGAGCTTTGTAGTCCCTTCTGGCTGCTGCGTGAGAGGAATGGAACTCAGAGATAGTGGATAAGGGAGTAATACCTTCAAACAGCCTTAGAGTGGTCCAGGCTGGAGGCTTGCATGGGCAATGTTGTTCAGCAAGGTTTGCAATACAGAAAATTCAGCAAAGAACTAAATAAGTCTGCAGATCCACATTGGTCCTGGAAGGGGTTTGGGGAGGTCATGTTCAGACACTGAACGTTCATATGCGGGAGGAAGAAAATAAACTTCCCTAGATTTCTATAAATACTCTAAAACCCATCCTTTCTGCATAGTGGGAATTAAAGAGCCAAAGAATTTACCCACACACACACACACACCTGACCAGTGTCCCTAGAAGTTATACAGAGTAGAGAATAAAGCTTACATGCCTCTAAGTACAGACCTAAGCCTGCTCAGTGATGGTGGATGGAAAGGAGGGAGGAACTTTCCTAGGCTTCCTAGAAGACAGTCTACTCTCTGTGACAGACAGAGACAGGTTTAGGTGCAAGTCCCCAAAGCTGAGAGCTTCTGTCCTGGGCAAGGTAGTGAGCAGTTTGTCCTCTGAGGTATGCAAGCTGTGTCTGGACTCAGAGAGTGTTGGACGCCGCAGGGAGGGGACTGTCGCTGGGAGAGGGTTGATTGGACCATGACCCCCAGCCCTACTTCTAGCCCCTCTCACTCTCATACTTTGAGTTCCTGCCCTACCCTGCCCTGCCCTGGGCACTGAACTCCAATGTCCCCGGCCATGACTGGCCACTCTGTCCCTGAAGGCAAGATGAATACGAGGAACTGCAGGACAAGGAAACCTCTTGCAGCCTGCATAGGTCAAGCCACAACGCCACACATGTGCAGTACACATGCCACATGCCCTTGTCTGGATTCATGGCCGATGATGTTTTCGTTGTCAACATGATGGACCACTCTGGCAACAACTCCCAGGAGTGTGGCAGCTTTGTCCTGGCTGAGAGCAGTGAGTACCATGAACCGCAAGCTGAGGAGGACCCAGGACCTTTCTCTGACCTCAAAGCAAGCTTTCTCATGCCATCAAAATCTATTGACCTTCTAGTGTCCTTCTTAGATGCTGTTTTTAGCTAAGGTGTGATGGTTTGATGTGGAATTTTGTCTAAATGTCCAAGAGGAGCATTAGAGGCTTGGAAAGACATAAGGCGGGGCCCAGCTCAGCCCTCCCTGTCTGCCTGACCCTAGGCAAGGTATACCTTGTAAAGACCCATTAAACATGACCTCCTAGGGTTCTGCGTGTGGTAATGAGCATCAGTCAGCTAACACAGAACCCTCCCAGCTGGATGGAAGGGGCCTAAGTTTAGGAATGCCCTAGGGTGGATCTGGCTGCAGCTGTCCTCAGAACCTACACTGGGTGGAGGAGGGATCTGGAGCAGCAGCTTTGGTACATGGCAGAGTGTGTATCTGTTTATATTTATGCATTCCCATGTGGTATAGGGACCCTTCTTTAGGAGAGAAATTGAAAACAGCCTAATGGGGGCACCTTGCTTAGGCATGTTTCACATTAGGCACTAACATTAAATCTTAAGAAACTTCCTTCAGCTGTCTGGAGTTCCAGCTTTTGCTTTTCTTTTCCTTTTCTCCTAAGAAATCACGGAGGATCTTGTCTGTATGCCTGTCCCCTGCTGGGCTGGCTGGGCCTGAGTCCTGGCTCCTGCCTTTAAGCCTGGGAGCTCTCTCTCTTTCCCCACAGTTCCCAGTTCTGCCTCACTGTTTCAGCCAAGTGTTCACCCAGAGCTAGTCAAGTGAACAGGGGCTGTGGCTAGGGAGTATTTGTTCAAAGCCTCCCAGGGCCTTCGGGAAATGTCAGTGGGGGGCATGAACTCCGCTTCCTGCAGATTCTTACCCCCTTTCATCTTTCTGGGTCTTCCTCAAGTCAAGCCAGCTCCCCCGTTCAATGTGACGGTGACCTTCTCTGGACGCTATGTTATCTCCTGGCACTCAGATTATGAAGAACGTGCCTTCTACACGCTGAGGGGCAAGCTACAGTATGAGCTGCAGTATCGGAACCTCAGAGACCCCTATGCTGTGGTGAGGCGGCAAGGCTTTGGGGTGGGAGAAGCAAGGGTATGCAGGCAGGTCCCAGCATAGTAGGACAAGGAATAGGACTTGGCACTCCCTCCCAGGACATAGCCCTCCCCTACCTCCTCCCTGGGCCAGGGTACCCTGGCTATGTCTCCACCTTGACTTCTCCACTAAGGCCCACCTCATTTACAGTGGGGTAAGTTTAGGAACATTCCACTTGCTTCGAATGTGAAAGCAAAGCGGCTTAAGAGGGCACAGCTGGAAAGTTTCACAATGGCCCACTGTTAAACAGAGCTTTGGGCTTCTAGAATTATACATCTATTATAACAGTCCTGGTTGGAGATTTAAATAAAGGGCATCATCTAAAATATTCCCATGGAGACTTTTAGAGCTGTCCATTGACAAGATGGCTTAATTAGGACTTCCAAAAAGGTACACTGTTGAGGATGTTCTCTGTTATCTGAGACATGGTGCCCAGAGGCTCACTGTCTGTAAAACTTCTTGTTAGTGATGTGCAGGGGTGCCCATAGTTAATCCCAGGGCATTGTTAGTTGGGGGGGGGGATCCACTGCCACAGAGAGGGAGCCCTTTTTCAAGGCAGCCCTAGTCAGGGATGCATGCTTCCCATGGTGTCTGCCTGGTGTTACTCCAGTGGAAGGATTCTGCACCCCATTGATGGCCTGGATGACTACAGAGTTTCTTCCATCCTGGCAGAGGCCGGTGACCAAGCTGATTTCAGTGGACTCAAGGAACGTCTCCCTTCTCCCTGAAGAATTCCACAAAGGCTCTATCTACCAGCTGCAGGTGCGGGCAGCACCCCAGGCAGGCACTTCATTCAGGGGGACCTGGAGTGAGTGGAGTAACCCTGTCATCTTTCAGACCGAGGCTGAGGGTAAGTGTGACACTGATTGGAACCCCGCTTCTGGTACTAAATCTGGTCCTGCTGCAGCTTCACAAACCCCGAGGTTCCCAGCATGGCTGGGAAGTGTGTGCTCAGTTATTCATCCCCAGATAGATTCAGCTGCTGCTTCTGATGGTACATTTGACTCCTGGCTCTGAAGAAAGAGTCATTGCCCCATTTTACAGAAAAGAAAACTAAGGCTTAGAGAGATGACAACACTTGCCTGGGATGAGAATAAAATACCTGATATAATCGACTTGATAGAGTAGAACAGAAGGGTTATTTTAGCTTATGGCTTGGGTCATGATTGCAAGGTCCTGTTGCATTCAGGGGCGTGTATGATACTGTTTACTTCATGGTAAACAATCAGGAAGCAAAGACAGAGGAAGGGCTGGGACCACAATACTCTTCAGTGGGTCTATAATGACCTAACCTCCTCTGACTGGACTCTGAGTCCTGAGGTCCTACCACCTTTCAGGAGCATCCAGGCTGGGACCTTACCTCTGACACAGGAGCCTTTGGGTGGAGGGGTCATTCCACAAACCCCCAAGGGAGGGATCAGAACCCCGCTTCCTCCTAGCCCTCCATCCCACCCCCATCCCCAGCACACCCACCCACATAGTTCTAGGAGACTTTTCTGTTGGACCCACGGTTTGCTCTCTATGCAGAACCCAAGGCAAACTTGAACCGGCACCTGCTGCTGCTCCTGATTGTCTTGGCCCCTGTCCTGATTTTCATGGGTCTGAAGAACCACCTGCCTTGGAGGTGAGGCCAGGGACTTGGGGAGGAAGAGAAGGGGTCAGCCTGGGCTGCAACCCCTCCAACTTATTCTGTTGGGCAGGGGACTTGGTGAGAGTAGTGAGACTGATGAACAGCATGTGTGTTCCATGTGCTGGGCGCTGCAGAGCTCCTGCCCCAGCTCCATGGCTGCCGTGTGGCCGTGGCACACTGCAGATACCTTCACTCTTCATACAGGGAAAACTGAAGCACAGAGTAGTCAAACCACTTGCCCAAAGTCACACAACTATGAAGTGACAACAGCAGGGTAGAAACTTCATGTTCTTTGAGGGGACCTTGACTGTGACCTTATCCAGAGAGTGAACTTTGAGGCCCGAGGGGTAACCACTCGCCCCTCTCCATCCCTTCGATTCACAGGGCTTCTGCATGGCCAATGATTCAAAACAGAACACACCACCTTGGCACGGGTGCTAAGGCAGGCTGCTGTGTTCAGAGTCCTTTGATAGTGACAGGGTGGGGCTCTGCATACAGTCATTGTGTTCCCCTCCAATGAGATGATCGGATGGAGACAGAGAATCTGGAAGGAGAGACCAGGGTGCCATCCACAGCTGATGGGGGCAGCGTGGGCCTCTCCCAGCCCCCACCATGGCATGAGGAAGTCAAGGCCCAGCTCACACTAGATGGCAGAGGCAGGATCTTGAGAATGTGCACGAAGCTTGGGGGTGTGGATAACTGCTGCTTCCGTTTTACTGATGGTGGGCAGGGAGGTGTCTGGCAGTAGAACTGTTGCTTCTGCAGGAGTGAGGTCAGACCTCCTATTTGCTGCCACAGGGCTATACTTACCCCCCTTTCTTTTCAGATTATGGAAGAAGGTATGGGCACCAGTGCCCAGCCCTGAGAGTTTCTTCCAGCCCCTATACAGAGAACACAGCGGGAACTTCAAGGTGAGCCACCTTGGATGCATCTTCTGGAGGGTTTGCCCTTTGGGGAGCCCTACCAGCTCTCACCCTAACCCCAAGATCAGTCTGTGAGCCCAGAGTATTCAGGCCCAACCTGACCTAGAACCAGTCCTCAGTTTCCCTGTTCTGCAAAGTAAAGAATTGCTCTTAGATGCAGGCATCGTGATGTATTTCCAGCTTAGAGTTACTGTGGAAGTGGGCAAATTGGGGGGCCCTGGGTGCATGAGCTGGGTGCCCGGGGTGTCCTGTGGTGGCTTTGATCTCTGCTGGGAGCAAATCCTACCTGGGCAGGACCTGCCCTACCCCAGAACACATCCCTCTCCCTGCCACTACTGTCATTTGCACATCTGCCCAGCACTGCTGAGCAAACCCAGCAGGGCAGGAGGCACTAGAGAGAGGATGTGGTATCAGGATAGGGAACAGCCACCTGCAGCAGCCCACAAAGGTCAGATATCAGGGCATGCAGGGAACACCTGCTGTGCACCTGGCCTGTGGCTGCACCTTTACAGTCCTTACTGTAGCAGGTTCCCAGCAGCCCTAGGGCTCCAGGAGGACCAGGCTCAGAGTGGCCAGTGGGCCTTTCAGAGCAGGCTAAGGGCATGCCCACACCCCTTCCTTAACCCTGAAACTTAGCACTGCTACTCGTGTGTGTGTGTGTGTGTGTGTGTGTGTGTGTGTGTGTGTGTGTTGCACTGTCAGCAAACAAACCTTACCTCACTCAGTCTTCAGGGCACTGTTGTGGGTGGGTCCATTCCATACATGAGGGAAACGAGACACAGAGAGGGCAAGGGTCTAGCTCAAGGCCACAGAGCTAAGAAGTGACTCCAGGTCAGGGGTAGGGGAACATCATGGTTCTGAGATGTTTTATGAGGGGACCTTATCAGAACTGGGGTCTGTAGCATGAATTCTAGTTGGAATTAGTAACAAAAACCCAGAGACAGATATCGGGGATTAAAGCTGAAGATCAGAGAAGCAAAGTGGCCAGTCACTAGAAAGTTCTCACCTCTACCAATGCTCAGACTGAAGGGGTGATCCTGTCCTCAGACTGCATCTCCAGACTGCATCTGTCTACACCAAACCTCAGACTGCCCTGAGCTCCTGTCCCTCCCGCCTTATATTCCTCTCTAGTGCTGGGATTAAAGGCGTGGGATCCTAAGTGCTGGGATCACTTTTCTGTGAGCTGTTTCTCTTTTAGACTGGATCAATTTCGTGTAGCTCAGGGCAGCCTTGAACTAACAGAGATCCACCTGCCTCAGTCTCCTGAGTGCTGGGATTAAAGGTGGGCACCATCACTGCCTGGCCTCTATGACTAACTAGTGTGGCTAGCTTTGCACTCTGATCTTCAGGCAAGCTTTGCATGTTAGGTCATAAACAAAATATCACCACAGGGGTCTTAGTCTACAGGGTGATCTTTGTCAACCCAACGAAGACTCTCCTATCCTCATCAAGATGCTTGCAGGCAAGGGGCAAGAGGGTTTCAAGCCTTCAGGGCCAGATTCTCAGTCCTATAGGCTTTTCCATACAGCTCATTACTGATTCACCCCATCCATAAACATTTATGGTAAATCTACTGTGTGCCAGGTATTGAGGGCACAGCTGTGAGCAGGGCTCATTCCTGGCCAAGTGTTCACTTTTGTGTGGATACACAGCAGAACTGCAGGCTTCAGGAAGTGTCAGGAGACAGGGGATGTGCTGGGCCACTTAGACCTGAGGACTTAGGACCCTGGTTCCATCACCCAGCTGATCCTAGGCTGGGGCACTGGTTACTAGAGTGAATATGAGATGGAAGGCAGTCCGTCCTTACTGCAGGTAGGAACACAGCCTTTCAAAGAGAAGGACAGTATTAGGGGCCCACTGGACAGCACCCCCTCTGCTGGTGACTTGTTCCTCTGCTGTCCCTGTCTCATCTCTGTGTCCCAGTGTCCATGTGTCTTTAGCTCTGTTCACACCCAAGCATCTGCCCCAGCCCCTGACTATGTTTCTTTCTCACAGAAATGGGTGGATACCCCTTTCACGGCCTCGAGCCTGGAGCTGGCACCACAGAATCCCACAGCAACCTCCGTTCTACAAGTGCATGACAGCTGTTCGTCATCATACCCAGTCAAGGGAAAGAAGTTCCTGGGGCCACCGAGTCTGGAAGAGCAGCTGGAGTGTGACGGAGTGTCCGAGCCTGGCCACTGGTACACAGTTCCCTTGGCAGCTGTCCCAGGGCACTCAGCCTACAGTAGTGAGGAGAGAGACCGGCCGTATGGTTTGGTGTCCATCGACACAGTGACTGTGGGGGATGCAGAGGGCCCATGTGCCTGGCCCTGTAGCTGTGGGGCAGATGATGGCTATCCAGCCCTGAACCTGGATGCTGGCCCAGAGTCTGGCCCTAATGCTGAAAATCTGCTCTTGGTTACAAACACCACCTTTCTGTCATGTGGCTGTGTCTCAGGTGGTGGCCTCAGGTTGGGAGGCTCCCCAGGCAGCCTCCTGGACAGGTTGAGGTTGCCCCTTGGTGAGGAAAGGAACTGGACAGCAGGCCCACCCTGGAGAACTGGGTCCCCAGGACGGGGCTCCGAGAGTGAAGCAGGTTCACCCCCTGGCCTGGACATGGATACTTTTGATAGCGGTTTTGCAGGCTCAGACTGTGGCAGTCCCGTGGAGAGTGACGAAGGGCCTCCTCGCAGCTATCTCCGCCAGTGGGTGGTCAGGACTCCTCCACCCGTGGACAGTGGAGCACAGGCCAGCTAGCATACAATAGTTAGCTGTGGTGAGAAGAGGCCAGAAGACTGTAGTGGCTGGGTGGGCCTTTGAGCCTGACATTTACAGTGTGAATATGGGGGTATGTGTGTGTACATGTGCGGCTTGATTATGTGTTAGCACATCCATATGTGAGAAATGCCTGTACATGCGTCTTGTTCACTGTCATACCCGTGTATGTCTGAGCTCATTGTGTGCATGCATGAGTGTAGGTGTTTCTTAGACTCTTCCCTTGCAGACATGTGGGGTGGCCACAGTCAGTGTCAAGAGACTGGTCCAGATTGCTGCCCCAGGGCACTATCACAAAATCCAGGCTTACCAGGTACCATCTCCGGAACCTGTGAAGTCAGGGCTGTTACTGTCTTCTCTCCTTGGGCAGGGGATAGAGTAATGCCCATTGGAGTAGGAAGGTTGGGGGAACCTAGGGATGTAGCTGTGAACCCCAGCTTTGGTGGCTCCAGGCCATGCAACCTGAAGAAGCCACTTCGGAACCCTGCTGACTTTGCTTTCCTGGACATTAGAATGGCACAGCTACCCTACCTCAGCCTTACACAGCTTGTATTCCCTTTCAGCTTCTTGACATTTGTGGCTTCTAGGACCAGGTGAATGCCATGAGGTGGGAGGATGAAAAAAAAATCAGCCTATACCCATCTCATAGCCTGGTTATCTGTGGAGAATCCTGCCAAGGGCACTGAGTGGGTTTCTGGACTGTGATATACACAGTCTGGTCTCTCAGAAGCAGTACCACCAACCAAGGCTTTTTGTTGTTGTTTTGTTTGTTTTGGGTTTTTTGTTTGTTTCTGATTTTTTTCCTGGCTTATTAAAAATTGCTCTAAGTACTCAGGGAATTTATCAAGTGTCAGGCATGGGAAGAGGGTACAGAGGACATAACCCACAGGACCCTCAATGTCACACCCACAGAGTGCAGGGGACACAAAGGAGCCATCAAGAAGTAGTTTCTAGGGTTTGGAGAGATGGCTTAGTGGCCACTGGCTGCTCTTCCAGAGGACCCAGGTTCAATTCCCAGCACCACACAAGGAAGATCACAATTGTCTATAACTCCAGTTCCAGGGAACCTTAAACCCATGGCAAAAACACTAATGCATATTAAAAAAAAGAAAGAAGGAAGGAAAGAAAGAAAGGAAGAATGAAAGGGAGGAAGGAAGGACAGAGTAGCTCCTGGGCACTCTGCATCCAGTACCTGCTCTTCCTCTGCCTGTTCTTGGTGTCATATTAATCCTGGGGACTTAGGGAAGATGCCCTTGCATCCAGTGACTCCTGTGAGCATGCTGTGTGAGGAGAAGCTGAGAAGTATGTGGTGGTATTGGAACATTCCTCACTGGACACCAGTATAGGAGCTAGACAGTGCTATGATTGCTTAACCCTCTTGTCTTATTTCTCTTCCCTTCATCCCTTTGCTTCCTCCTCCTTCCCTCCTTTATCCTTTGTCCTTTTCTTCTTGAACACTCTGTTCTTCCTGCAAGGGTGCCTACCTGAGACGTGGGGTGGTATTTGCAAAACCAGTCCAAGGTTGAGGCAGTGGAGAGCCTGACCTGCTCTGGACACTGTGGGAAACCTCCATCCTGGCTGCAACTCCAGGGTGCAGCATCTCCCCTCAGTGGCTCAGAGAGAGGCTGTCTGTCTGTCAGTCTACAGAGCTGGACTGGAAAGCAATCAGCAGAAATCAGCCAAAAGTTCCTCGGCCTCACACATAAAACAGGGTAGCTACTAGAGTCACTTAGGGTATGCATGAATGTCCTCAGCAGCCAACTCAGGGCTGGAAAGTTCTGGAACACTGGTAGTTTCAACAGTGAGACTGCACCTAGGACCAGGGCATGTGAGGCTCTCAGACCAGCAAAAACCACAGCTCCTTTCCTTCACGTGCATAGAGCCCCACCCTGCTGCACTCCCCCTCCCCAGACACTCAGACCAAAGTGTGCTGTGGTTTTCACATCCTCTGGGAGCCACAGACTGCAGGTGCACTTGGCAGCTCTCCAGGGAGCCAGTTCAGTCCCCCAGCAGGACTGGGGGGCTGGGCAGGAAGAACATTCAGGGCTGACATGCTGCCCCTCACTGGCTCCATTTTTGAAGGAACAGCCTGTGAACAAACATGGATGCAAAGTTGGAGGCAAGAGCTGGACCCCTAGTATGAGTTACTAGTGGGTGGACAGGAAGAGGGTGAAGGGTTTGAAGGAATGACAGCTGGATGGAAAGACAACACACTGCACAAGAGTGGGTGGATCAGATATCCTCTATGAAGCCAGCTGCTGTCTGCCCCCAGTTTATCCCCATCCCTGCACACAACAGGTGCTTAATAAAGCTTTAAAGCCTGGATTGTAGCCTGTCTTGTTTCCAGGATCTCAAGCTGTGAACTAGATGACTCTAGACGGATGTCATTGGTGAGGGCTGTTGTCTGGCTGGGAGAAGCTGGCTAGCCACTGATGCACGGCATGAGGGTGAGGCTTTAGGAAGGAGGCAGTGTTTGTCAGACATTAGGAAATGAATAGGAGCTGTGATGTGCATCTCTAGTCCAGTGAAGACCTCCAGCAGGTGTGGCCAAGAAGCACAGCAATTGAGGAAAGTGGGACCCCATCACCTAAGCTAGTAAGGTGCTCTGCAAGGATGGGGGCTTCACATCATACTCCCCAAGAGTGCATGGCTATTGATGTCCAGGCTTTGCCCATCTTGGCTTTGAGGGGATGGCCTGCCCCTTGAGCAGGATGAACTGGACCTGCCTGAGATCTGTCACTGAAGAAATCAAAGAGGCAAATCTCTCAGCAAATACCCATGGGTGTCTGCTGCTTTGTGAGCTCTGCGGACAGGGCACTAGACTCCCCGCCTCAACCCACACCACTGTATATAGTCAAGGCAGACATGTGACCCAAGCTGCTTCATGCTTTTCTCTGTAGAAGTGCTGGGGCTAGAACCCAGGACCTTGCAGATGCTAGGTGGGTCTTCTATGACTGAGCTAGCATCCCTAGTCTCCTTTTTACTTTTCCTGTTTTGAGTCAGGGTCTAAGTTGCTCGGGCTAGTCTTGAAATCTTGATCCCCTGCTGCAGCTTCTGAGCCCCCAGGCCTGCTGTTTCATCCTTTCCTCTGGGGATCCAGAGCTACTAGGAGCAGCCAAGCCTGGAGGCGGCGGGGTGGGAGCGGGGAGCAGGCAACAGGAGAGAACAGCTGGCCTGAGGTGCTGAGAGGTAGAAACCTGGGGCCTCCCAGATCGCTCCGTGCCTGACGGAGGTGTGAGTGTAATAGTCACTGTACACTTCACTATTTCCAGCTTTTGGCCTTCTAGGCATGTGAACTTCCCAGCCCCATGGGGTCAGAGAAGATGCAAGCAGAAACAGGAAGTCGTCCTTTCTGATGGAGCACTTATCTGGGAGTCACAGTGCCTCCTAGTCCTCTTCCAGTCACAGGCTTTGGTGGTGACTGAGCCGGCCACCTGTGGTTCTCTCTGTCTGAGGACTGAGTTTCCTTACCTGTGAGCCCGAAATTAACTCTTGTCATTTGCTGCTGCAGAGATCTGACTGTTTCACAGCACACTCCACCCAGTGAACCAGTTGACACATTTCCAAGTTGTGTAAGCTGGTTCAAGGTGGGTTCCTGCTGTTTGCAGCAGCAAGTGCTCTAGCATTAGCCCAACAACTCACAATGAAAGAACAACTCCCATCTAAGGAGCTCAGTGAGAGGAGAGGAGAGGGTTGGGGGAGGCTTGTGTGGCATATAAGCCTCAAGGAAGGGGAATGAAAAGAACCAGGGGCCAGGGCTGAGTTGCTGAGAGTTACTGGCCTCTGACAGCTGGAACCACTACTCCTCTGCTGCCCTCCCAGATGGCTCTCAAAAGCTGTATCACCTCTGCCAGGATCCCAGCAACCTCACCCCAACATCTCCCTCCAGTGCATTCCATCTGTGACATGGTCTGGGGTCTCCAGGGTCTCATGCAGGAAGGAGACAAGTGGAAATAAAACCCAACTCTGCCCCTGGGAACAAAAGCCCCAGTGAAGGACTCCCCAGGTCCACTGAGCCCTCTGGAAGCCGTGATCCCTTTGGCCTCCTCAGTGGATGGAAAGGTCCTTGTGTGTGGGGCTACAGCTGCTTAGATGTGGCTGCCACTGACCAGGCAGCACAACCCACCATGCCCTCCCTGTCCAGCCCCAGAAACACCACAGGAAGCAGGTGGAGGACTCCTAGGGGCAGTCGGTGATGTCTTGCCTCCTTGCAGCTGCAGATTTTCTTGCAGGTGGATCAAGAAGCATAGACTTCTGATGACAAACTGGAGAGGGGACATGCTCTGTCTAGAGCCATCCATGTGCTCAAAGATGTAAAGGACAGGGTCACCTCAGTGTGACGACTAACTGTGGCCCAGGCCCTTATTCTCAGCTGCAGCACACACCTGCCTGACTTTGTTCCCCAACAAACATGTGTCAGCAAAACCCATCTTGGACTTTGCTACCTGTCTGTCCCTGTCAGTGGGGCAAGGACTGAAGCGGCTCTGTGTCAGAGCCCAGATGGGGCAGGGCTCTGAACAGATGTTCAGTTATGTGAAGTGAGTGAATGGAGGAATGGCAGAGGAGAGGAACTGCCCTTATGGGACCTTTAGAAGACACAGAAAGGGGCAGAGTTCCCAGGAAGCTTGTAGAGGAGGCCAGAGCTACTCACCCCTGTGACCCCAACCAAGTGTCAACTTGAGGTCCTGCCCGCACTGATTTGGAAGTTTTTCTTTCCCAATTTGACAGCCCCAGGTAGGAACCTTTGCTTCGTGATCATCAGTGAGCATGGTGGTGACACTCCATCCCTCCACCCCAGGTGCTGTGGAGAAGGCTCTGAGGCAGGCAGCCTGGTGGGAAAACCATCACACCTGCCCTACCACTAACTTCCAACTTGGCAGAAGTTGTTTTAACCTCATGGGTCCTCAGTTTCCTCATACATGAAGTAAGTCATATGTGCTTCTCAGGATGGCTATGGCACTAGTTCTCTGTAGTGTCCGGAATGGTGCCTGATGTATACGCAGATGTGCTCTCTGTAACAGCATTTTCACAGGACATCACCCTGGCCAAGGGAGGTTTCCCAGGTTGCTGCTGCCCCCTGCTGCTGAGGAGTCATTGACAGTTTCTAACTCAGCCATTCAGAGAGAACAAGGGACACTGTTGAGAGTTATGGGTGCTAAGGCCAGAAGACAAAGCGGCAGTTTAGTTCTGCAAGGCCTGAACACCAAAGGTCACATGCAGGCTGCTCTAGTCCTAGGGAGAGCCAGCTGAAATGGAGAGGACTCTGACAGCAGTAGAGTGACTATGACCTGAGCAGGGCTTGGAGAGGGAAGGGGCTGAGCCCCCTAAACAGGCTGGGAGGATGAAGACCCTGCATGAAACCTGCTCTGGGGGCAGGGCCCGGGAAGCCCTGTGAGCTTGCTCAGTGAAGGCAAGTGTAATACTTGGGCTCCAATGCTGGAGGCTGCTCTGCTGTCTGAGTAGCTTCCGGTGTCCCAGGGAAGCTATGGAAGGAAAGTGAGCTATATAATGGTCATCTTTCACATCAAATGACACAAAGACCCATGTTTCCCAGGGTGTGCCCACATGTGTGTAAATACAAAAGTGTCCTGGAGCGGCAGGTAGAGGGAAACGTGAGCCATGTGTGCTAGTTCTATGTCCAAGAGAACCATTTGTGTGTTGTTTACCTAAAGAAATGAAAGAACAACTTAAGAGGGCCAGACTGTAGGTGGCAGGGAACTAAGTGCAATGGCAAGGACGCGTTGTTGGTGTGGCAGACCAGGTAGCCCAGTGCCATTTCCCACAGTCCTTGGTGAGAAGTGACAAGGTCAGGTGAGGCAAGGGGCCACCAGACAGCATTGCCCTGGGGTTTGGGATGCACAGCAGCCCTGTATTGCCTCTTTGTGAAGTCTTTGTTACTGGTTACTTACATTTCTTCTGTTCTGAACTGGACGATCTCAGCAGCCCAGCAACTAACTCCCTGGTTTCCAGCTGGAGGCCTCTTGACTCACCAGCCTGCTGTGGCTTCTGGAGATCTTTGTGCAGTTTGCAAAGGCTGCTGCTACCTGTTTGGGTGGGTAGTCCGTGGGTGAACAGGCAGGTGGATGGATGGATGACTGGGTGGGCAGATAGATGAATAAATGAATGAATATAGCAGTAACTGGTGGCTTCAACAAAGAAGGGAGAGGCTTTGGGAGCGAATGTTCGAATAAGCCTTGCATATGCTTGAGTGTACCCTGAAACCCCATGGCCCCTCCCCAGACATGCTCCCCACATGGTCCATGTAGAGCTCTGGGGAAGAGGGGTACTCTGTGAGCTGAGCTCTGTGTCCATGCTTGGTGCCCTTCAGGCATGCTCTGCTCCTGAGCACAGCATTGCCACTGCCCCGTGTTTCCCAGAACATCACTGAGGTCAGTTCTATACCGTTGCAGTGTGTCTGTGCTGGGCTCCCTCTTTTCATGGGGGTGTGGTGATGGGAGATGTCTTTTTGTATATGTGTTTCTCCTATTGGTTGATGAATAAAACAGTTTAGCCAACAGAGGCAGGAAGATAGGTGGGACTAGGAGATGAGAACTCTGGGAAAGGTAAACAGAGAGAGAGACCTCGAAGAGACACCATGTAGCCACCAAAGAAGTTAACAGGTCCGGGCATTCTCCAGTAAGCCAAGGCCACATGGAAATACTTAGATTAATAGAAATGGGTTAATGATAAAGACAGAGCTAGCCAGTGTTTTTATGTAATTTTACTATATTAAAGTTAAACCCCTTCTTTTTATTTTAGATAGAAAATAGGAGATAATGGGAGATGTCATTCTGTAAATGTTTCTCTTATTGGTTAGTGAATAAAGCATTGTTGACAAATAGGAAGGCAAGATAGGCGGGACTAGGAGACAAGGAGGGTTCTGGGAGATGTAGTAAGAGATTCAAGATGTGGGGATTTGAGAAGGTCTGGACCCTATCTCCGGTAAAATAAGACCACGTGGAAACACTTAGATTAATAGAAATGGGTTAATATTTAAGACAGAGCTAGCCAATAAGAAACACTAGTAACAGGCCAACAGTTTTATATCTAATACAGTGTCTCTGTGTGTTACTTGGGGCCGATGTGGCTCTGGGACCAGGCTGGTGGAAAAACAGCTTATAACAAGAAGCCCTAGCCATCAGCCAACAGTTATGATTAATATAGAGTCTGTGTTTATTTGGGGCTGATGCGGCAGCGGGACCTGGAGGAACAAGAACCTCCAGCAACAGTGTGGCTTACAGTGATCAGGGCAGGGACATGGAGGTTAAGTAAGCAGGAAGGGAGGTGCCCAGGTCTGCAAAGGCTCAGGCCAACTGT